CTAATAGGTGTGGATTATTACTGGAAGATGGTAAGGGGGGAAAAGATTCAATTAGGAAAGGAAATTTATGCGATTTCTACTATGTTTGGATGGGTCCCAGTTGGCCTTCAAGATAAAGAGAGCGAAATAGTATCTCAAAAACACGGCAATAGTAAACCTTTCTTCTTGCGTAACTGATTCATTGAGATCGTTATGGACTTTAGATTTGATGGGCCTTACCGATGACTCAGCGATTTCTAACGAGGTGAGAGAAATGATTCAGAGCTTTGAAAAGGAAATACGGGTAGAAGGTAATAGATACTATGTCAGTTTATTATGGAAATCGGAAGCAGGGCAATTAGAAAATAATTTCGGAGTAGCATTAAGACGATTTGAAAGTCTTAAAAATAGACTTATTAGAAATCCTGAGATTTATCAGCAGTATAAATCCGTAATTGAAGAGCAAATGAAGGAGGGTATAGTTGAGAAGTGTTCACAGGAAATAACGGAGGCATCGTATTTTATGCCGCACAGGGAAATAATAAAACCTAAGGAAACCACAAGGTTGTAGGATTGTTTACGACGCGAGCTCTTCTAGAACTAAAGGTGTAAAGTCCTTAAATGATTTTTTAGACATTGGACCTAGTTTGATCCCCGTGGTTTTGGACATAATTTTAAAATTTCGGAAATATGAAATTGCTTTCAGCGGAGATTTAGCTAAGGCCTTTTTAATGATAGGAATCTTAGAAAAGGATAGGGAATATTTAAAATTTCTTTGGTTCGGGAATAGTGAGGAAAAATATAAAGTTTTAAGGTTTAAACGTCTTCCATTCGGACTTTGCTGTAGTCCAGCAATTTTAGCGATGACGATAAAATTCCACATTAAAAAAATATAAAAGCACAAATCCAGAAAGTTATGAAATGTTAGATTCCTCGTTATATGTAGACGATTTATACTACGGTGCAGACACTATTGAAGATGCATGTCGATTATCCTCAGACGCGGTTAAGATTTTTAAAGACGCTGAGATGAATTTGAGAAAATTAAGGTCAAATTCCGAGGAACTTAATTCCTGGTGGATTGGAAAAGGTTATAACATAGAACCAGCTAAAGAGTCAAAATTTTTGGGCATGATCTGGAACTCTGAAGCAGATAAGATCAAGTTGAATTGCGAATTTTTAGGAAATTTATCCCATGACAGTGCTGAGGCCACAAAAAGGACTATTCTCCAAATGGTGGCCAAAGTTTACGATCCAATTGGTGTGTTTCAACCCTTTGTGATGAAAATGAAAATTCTGTTACAAAAAATTTGGACATTAGGTGTGGACTGGGATGATACCCTTCCATTAGAAATAAGTTAAGGACTGGAGTCGCTGGCAAGCTGAATTAAAGGTGTTGGAGGATTTTTCTCTTCCGAGAAAATATTTTGGTAGTAGTGAAAAATCTAATGTTAGTCTTCATGTATTTGCTGACGCTAGCCCTAAAGCGTACGGCGCAGTAGCATACTTTAGATACCTTGATTCAGAAAACATTATTTGCACCAGTTTCATTACCGCAAAGGGTCGCGTAGCTCCACTCAAGACTATGACTTTACCTCGTTTGGAGTTGATGGCTGCTTTAGTAGCCGCCAAATTGTCTATGTATTTGACAAAGCTGTTTCCTGAACTGTGTCATCAAAAGTTTCTTTGGAGTGATAGCCAAATAACTATCTACTGGATAAAGGGATGTGCAAGAAACTGGAAACCCTTTGTATCAAACAGAGTTTCTGATATTCAGTCACTCACGGATCCTGAATGCTGGTTTCACTGCAGTGGGAGTGAAAACCCTGCTGACCTTTTATCTCGAGGAGAAAATGCCTTTAATCTTGTGAGAAGTTCCCTTTGGTTACAGGGACCTAGCTGGCTGTCTCAACCTGAAAGTGTTTGGCCAGTAAATCAACAGACCAACATCGACGAGGAGAGCGTTCAGAACGAAGCAAGGGGGTGCAAACATCTCTTCATGTTTCTGTTCAAGACGTAGAATCTTCGGCATTACTAGAGTTAACGCGATTCAGCAGGCTGCTGAAGGTGTATCGAATTACGGCTTATGTTATGCGGTTTACCAACAATATAAAACGAAATTCAGTGAAAGTCAAAGGTCCATTAAGCTCTGTTGAGATTTCGCGAGCTGAGCTCTATTGGGTAAAAGTTACACAGCGAAAATACTTTGCGAAAGAGATTCTAGATCTATCAAGTGGAAAATGCTTAGAAAAGACATCGTCGATTTATTCACTTAACCCAGAATTGGATACCCATGGTCTTCTGCGTTTAAAGGGCAGACTTCAATTCTCAGACTTTGCTTTCGAAGAAAAAAAAAACACCCATGGCTGTTACCTTATAAAGATAGATACAGTGAACTAGTAATTTTTGAGTCTCATAACAAATTGTTTCATGCTGGAGTCGAAGCTACCTTAGCCGATATTAGAGAAAAGTTTTGGATCATAAAAGGACGCCAATTCGTCAAGTCCACGTTAAGTAAGTGCTTTTTGTGTGTAAACGATACAAGGTGCGTGCCGGTACACAGGAAACCGCTCCTTTACCACCTGATCGTGTTCTTCAATCATCTCCATTTTCTGTAACAGGGCTGGATTATGCTGGTCCCTTTTTTTACAAAGGACAGCAAGAATAAACATTATCTGCTTTTGTTTACATGTGCTACAACTCGAGCTTTACATCTAGAACTTGTCCCTTCTATGAGCGTGGAGAATTTCATGCTTGCGTTTCGCAGGTTTATTTCTCGTCGTGGATTGTGCTCAACGATATATTGACAATGCCAAGACATTCAAATGTGCTGATCTCGAGTTGCGAAAAATTTGGAAGTGTATTCAACATCCATCTGTACAAAATTTGTTTTTCTTCCCACGGTATAACATGGAAGTTTATTGTGGAAAAAGGAGCATGGTGGGGAGGGTTCTGGGAAAGGCATTTTAGAACGATCAAAACTTGTTTAAGGAAAATAGTTGGACGTTCTAGTCTCTGTTTGAATGAGCTAGAAACAGTCTTCGTAGAAATCGAAGCCATAATTAATTCAAGACCCATAACGTATGTCTACAATGACCCTTCAGAACCCTCACCGCTAACTCCTGCTCATTTCTTAATTGGTAAACGTTTACTTTCTCTTCCAGTTACAAGAGTGTGCAGAGAAGACTTGATTGGGTCTAGACATTCCTTGATCAAAAGGTATAAACATCAACAAACCTTGTTAAACCACTTTTGGAATAGGTGGAGGAAGGATTACTTGCTTTCTTTAAGATCTGTGAATTTATGTCCACCTACTAAAGTGTCTGGTCAGTTTGCATGGTTTAATGTTAATGACGTACGTAGTCCTTGTACATGACGACCGTTTACCTAGGAATTTGTGGACACTAGGTAAGATAATAGAAACTTATCCTGGCAGAGATGGTCAGGTTCGATCTTGTCTCATTAAAACTCAAACAGGTAATCTAAAGAGACCAGTACAATTGCTGTACAACTTTGAAGTGCATAATTAGTAGTAAAGAGTTACAGTGTAATAATCTAATTTGTTGTTTGCACATATATCATCTTCTGAATATCTTTATTGATTGTTGCTAAATGTAGTTTAGTTTATATAATTATTGCGAATTTTGATTTAGTATAATGTTTCTTATTTAGTAATTACTTTATAAGTTGATTTAACGTGTTTTTAAACATTACTTAATTGTTATTTGTAATTTGATGTAGTTTATATAGTATTCAAATGTTGTGTTTGATTTAGAAATTATGGTTTATTTTGTATTCGGTTTCTGTGAACTTAAAGAGTTCACAGGTGGGGAGTGTTGTAAAGAGAGAAGTAGAGGGCGCTGCTTGGCAGTAGCGCAATGCATGTAAGTAGAAACGAAATGTCGTTTGATTAGGCAACATGATTTCTGTGAAGGTAGTCCACCTAACAATAGGACAGTTGTAAATATAACGAATAATAAATAGCATTAGAAAACTGAACCACCGGATGTTTTGTGATTGCTCTACGGGCCGCCATGGATAAATGCAGGTTCGTCACATGCGTTTAATGTATGACAGACGGTATAAGCTAGGCTAAAATTATCTAATTATCTATTTCAGTTAATGTCGCAGATTATTACTTTTCCAGCTTGTTACTTTTTGCAGACTGTTAGAGCAGTTTTATAGAAAGTAAGCTTGAACTTTCGATTATGTCAAAAAGAATTTTTGATTCTGGAGCTGCCACAGGATCTACAAAGGAAAAGTATGTTTCGATGTCCATCAAACAAAAAGTGGAATTGCTGCAAAAAATGGATAAAGGCATGAAGAAAGTGACAGAGAGGTTAGTGAAAACGAAAAAATTTCGATTGACAAGTTAGTCGGTATTCTCGGCACAGCAATTACAGGACTTGAACGGCAGAACTTTGTAACTGAACAAGAAATTATGTCTGTTTATAGAATAAAAGAGAAAGTATTAGCACATAAAACGAAGCAACTTAAACAACTTACATTGAAAGAAATGTTTAATAAAGTAAACAAATAAATATTAAGCTCTTTTTTTTTTTTTTTTTCGTAAATTTTGATACGCTTTAGATCATAATTGCTCCTTATTTCATAAATTACAGTTTCATATTTTTAATTTTTATAATTTCTGCATGCCATCTTACCAAATTTAAGTTGATGATCTATAATCCGGAAAAATCGATAATCCGGAATCGCCGAAGTCCTGACGAGTCCGGATTAAAGACTTTTGACTGTATAACATTTATGTTTAACATACTATCCCAATATAATAAGGAAAATTTCAAATAAGATATCAATAATTTAAAAAATTATGAAATATTATGAATATTAAACAATATTCATATCAATTAATAATACAAAATTTCACAGTATCAGAAGATTTGTATTCTATTAAGCAGTCAGAAGAAAAATGATGAAAACACTGCATTATTAATATAAACATAATATAAACTACATTATCAATATAAACAGTTAAAATATATAAACAAAATCCAACTTACTTTTTTTAATTTTATTGATTGGCCTTCTAACATTAATTTTTTACGGTAAACATCCAAATGTGCTGCTTTCAAATTAAAATCATCTATTAAGCCATGTAAATCAAGTCCATATTTATTAAATAAGCATTTAATAAAGCCAGATGGGATGTTTGAGTTATTCAAATCAAAAACTTTGGTATTTGACTGACTCTGATTGTTTACAAGGTCACGAATCATTCTTTCAGCATTTTTACATTCATCCACAGATCCATAAATTGATATTGACTTTCGCATGTTATTAAGAACTATATATGTTTTTGTGGAGTTTCCAACTTTGTCAATTAATACTTGGCCATATTTTGTAAAAATGAAAAACGCATTAGGATTGCCAAACCATTCTATAACACGTCCTTGAAGTAGTTTCATAAGTTTTCGCCTTAAATCACCAAGCTCTGATATGTTTTTGCATCCAAATGTAATATGCATCGTACCTTCTTTTACATTTGGGATGACTGAAAATTCTTGGCATATTTTTCTTTGTTTATAATCCTTAGCCAACTCTGCAATATTTTTTTCAAGTGCTTCATAAACCAGTATTTTGCAGTTGAGATGAGACTTGAGAATTTGCTGCATGTGAAGCAAATGCTGACCAAGCTTAGCTTTGCCAGCAAGTTCTCTCAAAGCCCTTTCTCCATCATCTATACATTCAAAATAAACTGAAGCATTCCATTGTGTATCTTGTGCTTTTGGTAACTTAACATCAATTAAAAGATTTTTAGGTGATGTAAAATGACTGAATAATTTCAACAGATCTTGCTTTATAAAATCAATATCTTTTTTTGAGACTTCAGCAGACTTTTCTCTCTTAATAGTTACATCTCTCACTTTCAGAAAACCAGGAAGACGTTCTAAAAGTTTAACTCGTATATCTTTTTCAGTCACAAATGGTGGTAAATTTTTCATATATAATTCTTTTACATTATGGCGAGATGGTGTAAACTGTATATAATTATCACCAATGTAAAAAGAGGCATTTGTCAGTTTACCAGATGCAGCTATACAATCTTCTTGGGTATAAAATTCAATCCATCCAGTTCCACTCGATGGAATACGACACCAAGTAACAAGTACTCGAAACAAGGGTTTAGATTTATCCTTGTTTCTGGGGTGACAAACAGTTGACCGGACAGATAGTGTTGCTTCTTGCTGACGCAAGCCTAACAAAGCTGTTTCTGCATCAGCAGCCTTAAAAAAAGTGACACTGATTCGAACAGTATTATTTATATTTTTTACAATTTTTACTGACTGCACAAGCCCAAATTTTTTTAGAAAATCAATAAAATGTTCAGATTTATTTTTATGACAATTTTCAATTATTACTTCTTTAAATTCTCCTGGCATTATGATATCACTGATAATACCTCCAGCACCCAAACAAAAATATGTTGTACTTCCCATAATTTGAATGGCATCTTCCTCATTCATCATATTAAGATGGGCCTCTTGAATAATCTCATTAATAAGGTCACTGACTTTCACATGAAATCTTTTTTCTATATATATTACCACCAATCCTTTATCCACTTTGACATCAACTCTGAAATTTTTAGTTCTGGTACATTTTTCAATTTGATTTTCTATATCCATAATTTTACAACCTCCTTTTCCAAGAACATGCCTTACCAAAACTGATTCTCCAAATGGACCCAAAATCATTTGATGCATTTGGAGATATTTCAGAATATCAACCTGCAATTTAAAAATACCTTTTTGATAAGCCTTTCTTACAGTTTCCTCACTTATTGGTGTGACATCCATAAGGTAATTACGTGACGTCTCCATTAAGGTAGTATATACTAAAAATTCAGGATTATCCTTTCCCAAATAACAAAGAGATGAAGATGGATGCAGGAAAAACATCTCTGAGAGGTATGGAGATAAATATCCAGTTTGTGGATGTCCAGAAAAAATGCACAAGTTTTCAGAAAAACATTCAAAAATAATTGCTTCATAATGAGATTTAAATGCTAAATTATTATATCTCTTAAGCAGATTAATGCACAACTCTTTACGCAGATTCATGACAATATCATTTAGCACTTTTGCAGCAACATTTAATGCTTTGGAATTGATAAAATTTTCTATACACCACTGATATCTTCTGTCCCTTGGTTCTGCAAGCCATCGTTTATAGATATCTAAATAAGTACACAGATCACCTTCTTCTAAACAAAATTCCCTTTTCTTATTATCAGCTTCTATTTTATTATCAATAGGCCTCATAAATAGTTTTCCTGTCTCAGAAGCAATAGCTGCAATTATTGCAGCTTCATAACCAATACCCATATCAATGCCTCGTATTATAAGCTTTGCAAATCGAGGTTCTATTGGAAGCTGGGCTAGTTGTTTACCCAAATTCGTTAATTTATTATCTTTTATAGCACCTAAATGCTCCAAAGAGTCTAAAGATGTCAGTATTGCTTCTTTGGGGGGTGATTCAATGAACTCAAAGCATTCAGGTTGAATACCAAATTCTAGTATTTTTAATAATGCTTTTTGTAAATTTGTTCTCAGCAGTTCCGGTAGGGATCTAGCTGGCATATTCACTTTATAATTTTCTTCACTATACATACGATAACATATTCCTGGCTGAGTCCGACCAGCTCGCCCTTTACGCTGTTCAGCAGAGCTTTTGTTAATGAAAGACAACACCAATGCATTTTTCTTCTTTTCAGGTAAAAAGACCATTTCTTTGGCCATGCCACTATCAACAACATACTTTATTCCTGGAATAGTCAACGAAGTTTCTGCAGAATTAGTTGCAAATATTATTTTTCGCGAACCATCAGTAGAAGTCTGAAATACTTTCACTTGTTCTTGTATATCACATTTCCCATGCAAACACAGTAACGTTGCAGTTTTATCGTCACTTGAGCATAATTCTTTAAACATAGAAATTGCTTCCCCAATTTCACTTGGAGAGGTTAAAAACACTAAAATATCCCCTGGCCCCTTTTCTGTGTGGATACCATGTGCCTTTTTTACACATGCTTCAACATGATCCCATCCAACACTCACATCATTCTTCATCCAAACAACTTGAACAGGGTACATTCGTCCAGGAACACTAATGATCGCTTCATGTGGTAAGTTGAAATATGTCTTGAAAACATCTGGATTTATAGTGGCAGAAGTGATAACCACTCTAAAATCAGGTCTCATCTGAACACAGTTTTTTATCATTCCAAGTAATAAATCAGTGTATAGGGTTCGTTCATGAGCTTCATCAATAACAACACATGAGATACCCTTTAAATGCCTGTTTCTTAGACACATTTTTAATAAGCTGTAATCAGTCATAAATATGATCTTTGTTTTATAACAATATTTTTTCTCAGTTCCAATATCATAACCAACAACCTGCCCCACGGCTGATCCTATTTGACCACTTACAAACTCCGTAAGACTCAAAGCAGCAATTTTTCTTGGTTGTGTACAAATGATGGTGCCTCTTTCTGCTGCATTTGACTGTAAGAAATATTCAACTAATTGAGTACTTTTACCAGAACCAGTTTCTGCAACAACAACAGAAACTGAATAATATCGTAATAACCTCAAAATCTCAGTTTTTCTAGAATAAATTGGAAGACATCTTTGGAGACTATTGCATTCCCGGCTAAAATGAATTTTAAGCTTTTGGATTTCTAACATGTTACTCGCTTTGCTTAATTTTGACATCGTGTCATCAACAAATTTTTTAAAAACATCTTTCATTTCTATTAGAGTATTTACTTTCTCTCTTAATGTTAATTTATGTTCAGAAATCAATTTATGAGGCCCCTTTAATTTGTTCAGCTGTTCTGTAAAACTTTTAATTTTTTTCTCATGTTCAGCTATATATTTCTTAGAACATGTAGACACATATTTTTGGCAATCACTTATAATTTTTTCTTCACAATCACACGGTCTTTTCAAATGCCACAGTAAAGTAGATACATATACCACATGTGGCACTTTAATTTTTTTAGACCGAGTTTTTAAATCATTAAGGATATTTCTGGCATTAAGAGCATCCTTTTTCGAATTAAATTCTAAAATTAAAGTACCAGTAAATTGGCAACAAGGTTCAATAGTAAATCGATCATGTTCAAAAGCATTTGTTAAAAGATATTTCCAGTGCTTTAAATCTGCAGCATTTTCTGATACATTAATTTTAATGAAAAATCCTACTTCAAGACACTTGTTTTTTATCTTGTCAAACTCATTTACAGCAGATTTAGTAAAATGTAATTCAGATCCAACCATGCTATAATTGTTTTGCTTTTCTTCTCCATGCATGCAGTTTTTAAAATTTTGCTTGATATTCTTATGTTGTTCCTTACGTTTTCCCTCATTTTTCTGATATGGTCTAGCATTATTTGACTCGCTTTCAATCGGAATTGGGTTGCTTATTTCTTTACTCTTCATGCTTGTATTTTCATTTCTGCCAAATACTGAAGTTTCGATCTCAGCTACCTCAGACCTTATAGTTTGCCGCTTGTTCTTATTTTGAAACTCAGGATTACTGACATTTACCTTTTCCTTGTCTTTGCTAGATTTTAATGGACACTCTCCTTGCTTCTTATTGATAACATCCAAAACTGCACCCAGCCCTTCATTAACTAAATTATTAGAACATTTTGGAGAATTCAATGATTTATCATTCCCTGATGACTCTTGTATTGCAGTCTTTTCTGGCTTCTCCTTGTTGAATGATTTAAAATTATTTAAAGAAGCAGAATTTTGTGCATTTCTGTGAAAGTCTGACTTCTTGCTTTTTTTATTTAAAAAATGACATTCTTTAAAATTCTTTCGAAATTTTAAGTCTGACGAGTCACTACAATCTGTTAAATCAGACTTATATGATGAACTATCTGAAATATTATCCTTCACACGTGTCACACAGTCAGAACTTCTTATTTGTGGTTTTGTCGAGTCTCTAAAGCGGCTTTTTAAGCACTGTTGATTTCCTGAGTAATGAAAATTGTGTCCAGAATTTGGGGTATTATAAGATGCTGTATGTTTTTTATTAGCTTTTAATGATTTATGTGGAAATTTTACAGATTTACCTTTAAGAGATTCATTAATATTACTTAAATTGTCTTTCTTCCTAACATTTTCTTGAATCTCAGAGTCATTTTCTGCTAAAATACTTTGAAAGTGACATTGGGTTTGAAGAACATTAGATTTATTATAATTTTGTTGTTCATTCAGCACTTTAGAAGATGTGTCATTTTCTATATTCTCTTCATTTACTGCACTACCATTCTCACTAGCTATTCTACATATATTACCAATATATTCTGATACATCATTAATATTTTTTCCTATCTTTTTTGGAATAATTTCAAACATATTATTTGGCTTAGTAAAAGAGTTTGTAACATCTTTAGCTGAATTATTTGGTTCAGTAATAGTCTTTGAATCCCCAGCATGCCTATAAGAACACTTCTCACTTCCCTTAGAAGTATAATCCTTTTCACTATCACCCCTCAAGACATTGTTTTTCGCTGATTTTAAGAATATCTCATCACTAACCTGTACAGATGTGGTGCTACATTTAACGGAATCTAAAGATATATCTTTACTGGCTAAATTTAAATGTTTATCAGTAAGTTCATTAAAAGAGTTTCTTTTATTCCTATGACCTTTCATAGAATACTTTTTGTCAAATTTAGTTCTCTCTCTTTTAAGTGCATCATTATGGTTATATTCCTCGTGTAGTGTAACAAATTTATGTGAAGCACCACGAAACACTTTGTTACTAGATGGGCTACAATTATGATCATGTGTAGCTTTTTGAAAACGGTTCTGGTATATTTCAGTACCAGAATCAATAGAAGAAAATTGTTCATCTTTGAAGTGTTGAAAGTTCCCAGAATTATTTTTCTTGAAAACTCTTTTACACCCCTTGTTAAGATCATTAGAAAAATTTGAAGAAACATCAGACATACTATTAGTTTCAGAATCTGCTTTTTCCGAAATATTGTCATAAATTGGCTTATGATCAGGACTTTGTCGATTTTTACCAAATTTATTACTTTGCTTTTCATAACTGTGGATTGGATAATTATGATAGTTGTCATGAAAGGAACTATTTTGATGTGATGATGAGGAAGAGGAGGAGGATAAGCATCTGTTACGCTCGTTAGAATTATGTCTTTCAATTGTATTATTACTTCTGGACAATGGTGATGTTAACTTATTTAAACAATAGCTCACTATATCTGATGGTACAGAACCAGTTTCTTCTACACTTTTCATTGCATCAATAAACAAGCTGGAAAATTCTGGTGGTTTTGAAATGTTTGTAGCCATCTGAGGAGGGATATTTTTAGAAATATCTGATGCTAAAGCAAGAGCTGATGCAAGTGCCTTCTCAAAAGCTAATTTAACCTTGTCACGGAAACGAGGAGGTAAATCTTCTAATTCATCTGTTAAGTAGAGTCCTGTGCCTATAGAATGATATCGCTGATTTGTATAGCTTTCTAAGTCTAAATATTTTGATGACTGCATGAAGTCTTTTACTTCCCTTAAGTTACAAACAGTTCTCTGCATTGTATCTGATACTGTAAATTGTTCATCTGCACTCTGAGCAGCAAAGCTTGTTTCAGTTCCTGAGTGTTTATTAACAGTCTCCTGATTGGAATTGTTTTTACAGCTTGATAACTGACCTTTATTCTCCATCTAAACACAGAATAATGTAACAATTAAAAAAAATCCATATAATAATACAAAAAACAAATTTTGTTTCAAAGCATGGTAGATTTTAAAGTACAATATACTTGCTTCATAAGCGTACTAGAACTCTAACCATTTAGACTGCTTGTTCTTTCTAGGCCAAGTAAAACTCAACAGTTTACTGATTTATATGTTTATAATGTTCTCATTGATGAAAATAATGTAAAAAGCTATAATATTACAACATAAAAAGTTACAGTAATGTCAAAAGATACGGTAGATATAATAGAATGCAGATCTTTTTAACAACTTAAAACATTAATTTTGACAAACGTGTGCAATGTAATAAATACATATAATATATACCTGTATTGTGTGGCAAATATTCAGCCAAAAAAACATTAAAGGAAAAGCAATTACATACCATATATAAGTACACTATTCTTCCCCCAATCCCCCCCTTTTCTAAGCATAAAGTGATCTACTATAATTTCTGGAAGAAATGCCGCAGTAAATTAAATTGCGGGTGACATCATTATGGACCTTATAGACACAAAATCTTGACCTATGTCCTGAAATATGGCACATCAGTTAAGAAAAATGCATGAAATGAAACCATAACTCTCAAAAATAAATTATGGGTAAAAAATTTTTGAAACTATACTTACGTTCATGAACCCACTAAAGAAGCCCATATTTTTAAATACTCATACTATATTAAAAATAACGATAGTCGTGTGCACCTCTGAAAAAAATTGCAGTAGATTTACAGTGGAAAAGGCAGGGAAGGGTACAGGATGGGTCCTGGAAGATTCATGCAATGGCAGGGAAAAGACACTATTCAAACTGATGAGAATGTTGATTTGAAAGAGGGAAGAATGTTATTGTTCTGAGATCCCATTTAGGGTGAATATGGCATGTAGGTCCGTTCAAAGGGAAAGAATGTAAACAAAATAAAGTTCACAGAAAGCAACTGAGTGGTCTTTTGTGTGGGAATACCACCAAACTATGTGCAATGACAAGGTCATCGAAACTACGTACAACTACATCATAGGAAATACTTTTTTAAGTGCACCTAAGCACCGCATGGTTAGAAACATTGCACCCGCTGAAAATTAAGTTTTTAACACGTAAATGCAACAGTGTTTCTTCCATAAATTATGGTACTTTTTTTAGTATACTGGATAACATTCTTAAGTGTATACACAGATGTGATAAAATATGATCAATAAAAATAAAATTCCCAGCCCTAGAGCATTTTTTGTGCCCTGTTGTAATCCCAGTTTGAACCTTGTTGTAAACTACGCGAGCAAAAATTTATTCAGTACAAACTTATCACATATCTAAGTTAATTTGTTTTTAATTTTAAGATAGTAAATAGTGTTCAGCAATATATTTGGTAACCAATGCGTTTAGTATATTATTTTGCTTCGCTTGCAGTGTTACGTTTTTATAACATGTTGTTGTTTGACTAATGCTCACTTGTCTGATTTATAGTCCGCCCAAGCCCACAAAATTCCTCGTGGCAAGGAGCACAAGATATGCCTGTCGTTGGCAACAGCCTTGAGCACCTTACAGGTGACAGTGCGATTTAGCTCAGTTTTGACTCCAATTTTGATGGAGAGCATCCTGGCGGGACGGGTTCAAGCTTCTCCCACCCCTCTTCCCCTGCCACCAACCTACAAGAGGACCACATCACATGGACACAATGCATTTACCAATATCCATACCTTCTCCGAGATTCGAACACGGGCCCTTTGGCACGGCAGTCAGCAACGCTAACCACTATACCAGTTGAGCAGCTTTTTATAACATAAATGTATGTATCATTCTTCAATAAATATGCTTGAGTGTGGGTTTTAACAAAGCACGAAGTGTTTGCATATTTAGACAAATTAAAAGATAAAATGTAAATTTTTTTTATTTTCATATTACTATGTTAATAATGCTTCATTTTAAATGTTAATCATAAGCAATGTCATTATAATATCGGCACTGCATAAAGGCACTCACTAAACATTTGCACGATGACGGCAATTAGGCTTGGCATGGGCTTGACTCCAGGCCATAAAAATTTTGCAAAATTCCATTATAGTAGGTGCGGGTTAATGCAACTCCTGTTAATGTTATCAAAAAAGTGATCTCGCCAATTTGTATACAAAAACATAGGAAACACTTATTGTGATCAACAATTCGGTTAATGTTCTCAAAACACTATAGAATAAATTTTTTAAAGTGAAGTCAAATTGCCAAATACGATCAAAATACAGTAAAGAAATTGCCAAATGGCATAGACATGTCGCTAAGTAAGGGATTAACTCTTTGAAAGGTGGGAAAAGGCAATTAACTTTTTCAGTAAAACTCTTTTTTTTATTTACTATACCAGGTGTTACAATGAAATTATTTGCGACAATTACATGTATTTTGTCAAAGACGCATGAAAAAAATGACCACTTCTGGTGGTTGGTGTCAGTGACCACCACCCACAGAACAAATCCCTACAAATCAGTGTCTATGATACTCATGGAAACAGTTTTTCTTTTTCAAGCAGAGTGCAACTTCGCATGTGCTGCATTCCCACACTGTTCTTACAGGCCTTTTTCTTGCTGCTGCAGAGTGCTCATCGTTGTAATGTTATCTTCGACAGCTGATGCTTCAGAATCAGAATCACCTTTCTAACATTAGGTATCAACCACCAGGGGTTTTAACCTATAATTATTGTGGCATAGGCCATTCGCATTTATTTTTCTTAACTCTGTGGCACGTGAGCGCCTCACCCGAACAAATCCCTACAAATCAGTGTCTATGATACTCATGGAAACAGTTTTTCTTTTTCAAGCAGAGTGCAACTTCGCATGTGCTGCATTCCCACACTGTTCTTACAGGCCTTTTTCTTGCTGCTGCAGAGTGCACATCGTTGTAATGTTATCTTCGACAGCTGATGCTTCAGAATCAGAATCACCTTTCTAACATTAGGTATCAACCACCAGGGGTTTTAACCTATAATTATTGTGGCATAGGCCATTCGCATTTATTTTTCTTAACTCAGTGGCATGTGAGCGCCTCACCCGAAGGCGAAAAATGGTCGAGGTGACAAAGGCATTAGGGTAGGCATACACAGGTATAAATACTAGTTATGCATTTGATCTAATAAGCAGAAGATTAAATAATGATGCACAGAAAGAGTTAGTGCTTCGGAGCGTTGTGAAAAGACGTCCAGCCTGTTTGGAGATTCCTCGCTGACTGAAATGAGCAGAAATACATGAGAGTAGCTAGATAAAGTGTCATGTGACTAAAAGTCACGTTCTTATTGGAGGTGCCAAGGTAAGCATTAATTCAAAGTTTTACAAATAAATGAGAGCAATGGCATGACTTGCAGTAATTTTGATGAAAACACAGTCTTTTATTTGATATAAAAATCTGATGTGTACACCACAGTACTGATGTGACTTCCTTGTACGAAATATTAAATTATACGCATTTTTTCTTGCATTTCATTTAAACTTATTGGATTGAATTAAATCTACTTCGCCGACAGCGCATAATAAACCACAATAGAATAAAATGCATTCTTTAAAATTCACTCTAGTATTTGTTCCCATAGCGACACTCTGGCGCTAGATTCACTTAACAGTATTAATAATTATATAACAGTTAACTTATATAGTAATTATATAACAGAAACTAAGTTAACTGTTATACAATCCAATAATTATATAACAGTTAACTTATATATTTTGTTCATATTCTAACTCATAATGCACAAAATTTATATCATTTAAAGAATAGAATTATCTAATCGTTGCCACATGTTCTGTTGAAATACTATAATAAAGCTAGAATGATGTACAAAAGAAATTAAGCAAACAAAATAAAAAAGAAACAGTTTTTCACAGACGATTGAGTATTTCTCATTTAATTAATTCAGTTCTCACTTCGCGAGAAGAGAAGGCAAAAAATACATAAAACTCAAAAAATATCTATATTAAAAATTACAAAGTAAACTTTAAACACTTATGTCCTTGAAAAAATTCCAGAAAGAATTAAGCACGATTTAATTGGCAATAATAAATGAATGCATTATCTTTGTTGTTGCGAAGCTAAGTTTCTCTAGATTGGCAACAAATCCACTAGTCTCCTGTTTCAAATGTAAACATCAACGGCCGCCACAAAAAAAAAAAGGCTTAGCGGTATTTAGACAACTTTAAATTTATTGATAATTCTAAAAATATTGCATACAGATTTACTAAAGGCATAAAAACCTCAACCGGAAGATAAAAACAACATAATACAGTCATTTTTAAAGCAAAAAATGTACAATTTACAATTATATAAGAGTAAAGAAACTGAGATCACTGAGCTGGGTAACAGAGTGGATATATATATAAATATATTTATACACGTTTGGTGCAGCCGACTGTAACCAAAATACGAAGTGCACATCTGCATGTTATAGCAGTCCTATATACAAAATTTCAACGTTCTAAGGCTACTCGTTTTTAAGTTATGCGAGATAAGTACATACGTTCGCACAGACGCCAAGGAAAATTCTCTTCACAATTAATTTAAAGCAGTTTTATAATTTTTTGAAGGAAAAGAGTATTTTATTCTGTCCTTACATACAGATATCACGCAAAAACATTGTTAAATTGCATTCGATAGCGGTCAGAATGGATATTTTCGTTGAAATATGCTGCCTGAAACTTTTCGCGATTACAATACTTTTTACTTCGAACAAGGAAGTAAAAAAGTAACAATGATGCAATAAAATATAGTATTTCTTGTGTAATAAATGAAAATTTAAAGTCCTGATGGCTGATGCTTATTTTCTTGAAGACGAAATGTTGCATAAACTACTGGCTTATGTTTTTTGATTGCCGTCTAGTGAGCTACAAGGGAACTTCAGAAACGGTCAGTCTTGAAAACCACTCATACGAGTAAGACGTTCAATAGAAAAAATGGTTACTGTAGGTAACCACCACCCTCCAAAGAGTTAAATTGCCAAG